GTGCAACGCGCGTTCTTTACTGTGTCGAGCACGCGGCGAATCGTTTACCAACGATCCCCCGCAGACTGAAATCGCGTAACCGAACCAATTCGCGGAAGGGTTAGTCCCCGTCGCGTCCGGGTTACTCGCGAAAGTCAGTCGGCAATGGTTGGGGTAGAACTGTCGCGCCCGAGCCGCAGCAGCCCGCAACACACGACCCGACCGATTCTCTCCACCCCCCACCTCGCCGCCAAGCTACTCTCTCCTCTCTCTACTCCTTTCTCTTCATTCTGTTCTCTTCGCTCTGCTCTGCTCCGCTCCGCTCCGCTCTGCTCTGCGCTCTCCTCTCTTCTCTCTTCTCTCTTCTCCGTAGTTTATTGTCCGCTCGTTTCTCTCTTCCGACGCGTCTCTACTCGTTTCCTTGCTACTTTTCATCGCTGCTCATCGCTCCATCCGCTCTGCATCGGTCCTGTTCCTACCCCTCTCGCGTAGCGATCTCCTGCTTTGCTCCTCTTCTCCCTCCTCCGAGTGTTGTACCTTGCCTCGGCATGTTTCTCCTCTTCCATCCTTTCCACCGATCATTGCGATTCGCCCCCGATCCCCTTCCAAACCTCGTCACTGTCCCCCTCGTTCCCGTTCCAGGGGTGGTGGCGTTAGACAGGCTGCGAGTAAGGGTGAGGGCGAGATGGATAGAGGGAGAGGCGGAAAGAGCGCGGGCGCGCACTCGAGAACGAGAGAGACGGAGAGGCAACGGGCCGGAGAGGGGGAGCGCAAACTATTCCGTATTCGGCGACAATTCGTCCTTTCGCGAATCCACAACCCTTGTTCGACTCGCTGCCGATTCCGATCCGAGTCTCCTCGCTCTTGGCGTTTTTCCGTTTCACCGAGTTTCACAAGTTTTACCGTGTCGGTTTCAATTTCGTCGAATCGCCGTAGGAATTGAACGACCGTCGGTAAACTGGAATCGATCGGGCCGGGAAAGGAGATAGGCGAACTCGAAAGAAAAGAATCGGACGCTTCGTATTCGCGTTCGTCCGTGCGTTCGGATAGAAGAACCGATGCTCGGGTCGCGATTCGAGGGGTTTGAAAACCGATCGGCCGAGAGATCGAGAAGATTCGGCGTATCGCGAGGAAAATGTCGGGGCTGCGAGAGTGGTCCATCCTCGCTCTGTTGCCTCTAGAAAAATGGGCGAGGCATTGCCCTTTCGTGAACTTTCAGCTTTAGCGGATGTAGGTGTCCCAGCCGACCGAATCCTGAAAGGAGAAGAGCGTGACCCGTTTTTCGTCTCGCTTCTCGAATCGGGAGCGTACGTCTTGCGCGATTCGCCCTCCTCGTTCGCAACACGATAGGATCCGAGCTGTTCCGAGGTTCCACGAGGACCGTGACGCTCACGGGGGTGTTACACAGCGCTACCCCTGCATACAGCGTTTCGCTCCGTCCATTTCTGCATACACGGTACATAGGTCTACGCATATTTTCAGTCGATGCGCATACGCGGAATCGCATCCGATCTCTGTCCCACGATCCTCCGATCGTTCGCGGTCGTTTGCGGTCGCTTGCGATCGAACGCGAAATCCTAAAGAAAAATGGCTCTTCGGTGCTTCAGCCGAGCAACTGCCGACTCGGTTATCACCGATTCCTCGTACCCGATACTTTTCAAGGTTGATTCCAACAGTTTGGCGAAACCGGTCGTTTCGTCGGACGAAAACGACCGAAAGAAATGTAGGATTCGTAGGCCTCTTCCCTCCAGCTACCTTTGCTCGTCGCGACGGACGGTATACGGGACGAGAGGAAAGCAAAGGAAAGGAGACGAGACGAGACGAGACGAGACGAGACGAGACGAGACGAAAGTGCTGTCGCGGAATCGTGGGAACGATTAAACCACACCCTGTTACGAGATTTCGTCAGCCACTAGAACGGCCTAGGAAAGAGAAGAGGCGGAACGACGATGGTTTCGAGAGGATTTCGACGAGTCCTAATTGGTCGGCGTCTTGTCGAAAATAATCCAACTGGGTGTAACCGGCCGCTAAACGTTGCTCGTAAAGCATCCGAACGGCGTGGAGTACGCGTGCGTTTCAGCGAACGAGAAGCTTGGTAGCTAGCGAGGGCGAGCGAGGGCGAGCGAGTGCTTCTACGAGCAGCTACGAGCGCTTACGAGCGTGTACGAGCTTGTTGGTCACACTCGCGCACGCTTCGGTATCGCGCGCCGGTTCTTCGAAAGCTCGCAGCTTCAATCATTCTCGAGATTTCACTTCGGTTTACGAGTCGGAGAATTTCGGGCCACCCTCCCTCCCTTCCTGTCTCTTTCTC